GGGCTCCAGAGCTGAGGGCCACTTGGTTCCCATTCGGCCCCAAAACAATGGAAGGTGTTAAGCTGTTTATTATTTCTAGTCAGCAGAATTAGCAGAGACTTCGTGCACGGTACTTAAGGCCCGTGCCACCTTCCAGAAAGCCAGCCTCCCTCAAGTGATGCAAATGGTTCTCAAATCTCTTATTAGCGACGCTCTTGACTGTTGAAAGATCACAGGCCATTAAGAGGCCAGACGAAGCCCAGAGACCTCCGACAGCAGCAGTGGGGCTTCCAGAACGATCAGCCACACGGGCCGGAGATGCAGAGCCTCTCCCCGGGCACACAACTCGACCCACTCTGCTGTGACTCCGCCGGACACCGTGTGTAGGACGCTTGACGCAGCTCACATTGCCCGTGCCTGACAACACCCTGCCGGTGTCGATGTTTGGCCCATTTCACACATTTCTAAAGGGAGCTTGGGAAGACTCCGCTGTTTTGTGAGAAAGCATCAGTCATCCACCCACCCATTTACAAATGCATACTAGAGCCAAGAGCATTGCAAACGGTTCCAGGCACTGGGGATACACTGGCGAACCCGATAGTTAGGAATTGTAGGGCTCATGGAACTCGTGTTCCCTGGGGAGGTGTGGGCATGAGAGAGTCAGATGCCAGATAGCGCCGAGTAGAAGGAAGGAAGGAAGGGAGGGCAAGAGGAAGGGGGCGAAGGAGGATGGGGCTGAGCAGGCGTGGTCCACGCTCCATGGAGCCCCCCAAATCCCTTTTGCCATTTTGCATGAATAACATGGGTGGGTTGTGTCAGTGCCATTTCCTGAAATTGACCTTGTACTATGCAAAGTGTCACAAAATGTCACCACTAAGGAGGAAGATGTCACCACAGGGGGAAATTGGATGACAGATACAGGGATCTGTCTGTAAAGTGAGTCCTTACAACTTACATGTGAGTCTCCAATGATCTTTTTAAAAAGTTCTTTAAAATTAAAAAAAATACCATTGACCAAAAAAAATAATTTCCATCTGCAGAGTGCCTGGAGAAACTAGAGAAGCTGATGGTTAATGGCCCCTCAGCTAAAGGCCTGGTCCACTCAGCTCCATGTGTAGACTTGATTAACTTTTATGACTATCCTCTGCCTCGGTATTTACATCTGGAAAATGGGCTCAGAGTAGTACCTACTCTGTCTGCTTGGTGGAAGAATTCAATGTTTATGGGCGAGTGCCTCACTTATGCTGTTTGTTAATTTATTGTTGTGATTCTGTGTAAGATTCCAGAAGGCTCTGAGCTGACCTTATACAAGCACGGATGCTTGCCTCCCACAATCTTCAGGGCCACATTTTAGATGCAGGATTCCACCCAACTTAGAGCTGGAACTGAATGGCAGATCCGTGTAGCGAGGGAATCCTGGACCCGGGCTGCTGCAGGCTCAGCCCTGCCCACCCCCGGGGAGGTGGGGCTTGGCTTTGGGGGTTCTGGCTCTGCGGAAACCATGGCCCCTGCGGGGAAGGGCTGAGACATCTTGTCCTCTGAGCACCATGGGGTTTAGAGATACCCCAGATCTCTGCAAGGTGAGGGGGTGTGTGCCCCCACCAACTTGCAGAAAAACTAGAACAGAAAGTCCTCCCTCATGCAGAGTCAGGCGGCGAGGGCCTGCCATGCCAGCCAAGGGTCCCGTTTCTCTCCCAAGCCCGCTCCAGTTGCTTTCTGTCTCCAGCCCCATGGTTTATTCCAGCAAAGACTGGTTTGGTATTTCCAGAAAGGGTTCTCCTTTTCTCTGAGAACAAACAGACCCCAGCTTGTCACACTCAGCATGCTCAGGGCTTGGGCACTGGCCGGGAGGAAGGAGGACATCCCTGTCCATGGAGAGTGGGGGGCTCTGGGCAGGGGTGAGCACATCCTCCAGACCACCCGGCCACAGCCTTGCTGGCCCCACTTTAAGGGAGAGGAAACTGAGGCCTCTGAATGGAACAGTGACTCATGGGGAGCAGCGGAGCTGGCTGCATCCGCCGCTCTAGCACCTTCTAAGAGATTCTCCGCAATAAAAGTTGCCCTTTCCAATTCGATGCCATCCTCTCTTCTTGGCACTGCTGACCTGTGGAGCCAGATCACCTGGGTTTACGTCAGAGCTCTGGCACCTACTCTCCATGTGCTTTGGGCAAGTTATCTGTGCCTCACTTACACCATCTGTGCAATGGACACAGAAGTGCCTGCCCCATAGGGTCGTTACCACCATGAAATGAGTGAGATTCCCCACACAGGGCCAGGTTTCTAGATACTCTCTATGTGTTAACTCATATGAATGAAGTTTGTAATTTACAAGAAATTAAGTGCGCCCATGGAACATCATCATTACTTAGGAAAATCACTGGGATGTATGTTTCCATTCATCCAGATTTGAATTTTTTTCCAGAAGATTTAAAATTTTCTTTGTTTTGTCTCCACATTCCTACTGAGAAAGAGAAAGCCACGTGCTGACGTGAAGGAGCTTGTGGAAGTCACGTCCTTGGTTCAGAACCTGTTAAGTCTGGTTCCATCTATTCTCTCATCAGTTTGGACGGCGAGGCCCCGGGTTGGGGTGGATGCTCAAGCTAAAAAGGGGCTCCTTCACTTTCCCTCAGACCCCACCGACAAAGGGGAGAGAGCCAACACAGGCAAGCTGGAAGTGTTTCCCACGTTGAGGGAGTCCCTGCTCCACCGAGACCAACCCCAAATGCCCTCTCCCAGAGTGCACCGCTCCCCGGCCTCTGGTGTGATGGAGACGATGCTTCTCCATAGATGCCGTGGCCTCTGGACTGAGGCAAGCCCACCACCCACGTGGAGAGCGTTCTGAGTGTGTAAATTAAAAACAAGCAAAACTGCTGGAACCTCTGGCTAGTCAAGTAGAAGTGCATAAAGGAAGTTTGAAGGAGAAGATTAGGTTCAGGGCTGTGGGTCTCAGCCCCTGACTGGAAGCTGGTAAAAATGACTGAAGCTGGGCCCCACACTGAGACCACTGTTTTCCAAGTCTCTGGGGTGATGCTAGGCATCTGAACTGTCAGTGTTCCCTAGGAGGCCATAAGGGACAGTCAGGGTTGAGAACCACTAGGAGGGGGATGGGTGGCCTGGGGTGGGAGCGGCAAGAGATAAGGAGTCTCTAGCAGATAGGAACAGCCAAATGGCAAGGCAAGAAGGGTCCAGGTCCCGGCTGCTTGACCCATCCTTCCTTTTCCCTGCAAGCCGCTCCCACCAGCTTTTTCTCATCTCCTGGTTCTTCTCACCCCGCCCCTCCCCAGTTTATCCTCCTCTCTGCGCTCCCACCTGGCTGCTAATGGCACTGCCTTCTCCCTCTCCACAGGTCTCTAACCGTAAAGCTTTCTTCTTTGCTTCCCACCCAGTGGGTCCATCTGTCACCCCCTCTCCTGACATTTCCAGTTTCTCTTCCCTGTGTCCCAGGCAGGCCACACACCCAGTCCTACAGATACGCCTCCTTGCAGGCCTTGCTCCCTCTTGCTTTGATGCTCAAGAGGTGTCAGGTTGTGCAGCCCCAGCCGGCAACTCAAACCAGGCTCCCTAGTGGCGCTCGCTGGAGAATTAAAGCAGCACACGAAGCTAGTAAAAATCAGCCTGCCTATCCCACCCGGAATTTCAGGCAGCACTGGGAGACCCTCCCTCCTAAGGCATTGTCAGGTATACTTGTGCCTCCCGGGTGACAAGGGCCTGAGGAGGAATTGTTAGGCTGCCTGTTGCCCTGCTGAGCTGCTCAGTGCCCATCTCCAGGGCCACTGTGCCTCCAGGCTGTGTGCACAGTGACCAGGGGTGTCTGCTAAGGAGGGGCGGTGACACCTTTCCAGGAGTGAGGAGGTGATCTGTGCAATGTGCCTGGAATAGCACTAACCTGCCCTCCGCCCTTGAGAGCTCCAGGGGCCATCGCTCTGTATCCACCTCTCAACAGGGCGTCACCAACGCCTGTTGGGGGACGCTTTCATCCGCTGCCCCTGCTATTGTCCAGCGTGACTTCACAGGAAGGAATCAGGATCTGAGCTAAAAAGTGAAATGTTCCTCTGTCTATGTTGGGAGAAGGGGAGAAAATCTCCGAAGCAAGTGCCCTGGGGGAGATGAGGTTTTATGAAGGGAATATACAGCATCTTGCTTAGGGAAGAAGCGACTCGATTTCAGGCAGAAAAGTCAGCATTGGTCTGTTGGTTGCAAGTTCCTGTTGGGTCTGGGTGTCAAGTCAGGTGACAATGAAAACAATGCAGCGGCTAAAAATATCCACTTGCATTTTGAAGCACCTCTCAATCACCGTGATACCAGGTAACTACCCTAAGGCCACTTTACGGGATGAAGGAAGAAGAACACTGAGGAGCTCACTCACCACGCTCACACCGCGCTGTGGCCTGGGCAGGGCCTCCCCAGCTCTCTCAGGTCTGGCTCGCAGCCACTTCTCGGACACTCCGCTCTGCCTGGGAGAGGAGTTTAATGAGCGAGGGATGGTCGTGGAGGGGCAAAGAGTCTCATCACTGGGACGGGCCTCAGCACGTTATCTCCTTTTTACAGGGTAGAAAATGTGGCCCAGAAATGAAGGCGTGCCCGCCATCTCGCAGAAAGTGGAGCAATGCCCCGTCTCCCACCTCCCCAGCCTCTACGGCAACCGCAGCCCCCAGCCCTGCCCCGACGTGCACACACACACGCGTGTGCGTGGCGGGATGAGCACGCCCATAGAGAGCTGCGGTGAATGTGGGGAAGGGGCGGGTTTTTGCATCCCAGGTGATTTTTCTCCTTTTGAATGCAGACATCTGGTGTCCTATAAATAAAATTGAAAATGTAAATATTGTAAAACCCATTAGAGAGTGGTTTTAGTTTTGGTGAGAGCACGGGTCAGCTGCTACCTCGCTGCAGCGTGGTGGGAAAACACCACCCCTCGCGCGGGTGTTCCCGGGTCCTAGCACGTCACCCGCGTCACCGCGGTGGCCAGGCTGCACTCTGTCTGGCTGAGTAAACATTAAAACATGGGTCAGTTGTCTCGTTTTTATTATATGGCATTAACAGTTTTCAAAAGCTACCTACAGGCCTTGCTGCCTTCATTTCATACATAAAAAAATAATTTACAAAGGGAGAGTATCACACTTCTCGTCATAAGAATCCAAATTCCCAGGCTCAACGATTCAGTCCCAAGACGCGCAGTCAGCCAGATTTCTAATACCAGGTTTAAAATGCTCTTCAAAAGACATTTTCTGTTCGAGACATATTAAATAAGCTTTATTTAATAATGCTCAATTTGACTTATCCAATTTAAATATTTGCTCTGATCAGCAACCATTTGATCCTGGCTGCGTTTCGGGCAGTGGGATCGCTCCTCTGGGTTATTTTTCTTTGGGGCAAAGGTTGGCTCTGGAGGCAGAGTGCCTGCTCTCGGGTTCTCTGCCTTTCACGAAGCCGTGCAGCGGCTGGAAGGGCACGGAGCCATAAAAAGCTGTACTGTAGGCTGCTTTTATAATGTTTACATTGCGTGTCCTCACGTCTGTCTGGCTGAAGACAGAAGATATCATTTAAAAGACTCCTACTAGCCAGATAATTATAAAGAGAGTTTGGGGGGGAGGGGTGTTATTTGTTTGGTTCTTGTTGGGGTTTTTTTTGGAGGGGGGAGTGAGGCATCAGAATGTAAAGAAATTCTCAGGGAAGTGATGTTTTTGAGATGTATTCTGCCATGCTTTCCCCCTTTCGGGGATTTGATGCACCAAATGGTTGGTCATTCACTAGGAGTCAGGATTTTAAGACAGCAGGAGGAGAGTCGTTTTTAATATTTTAATTCAGTATGTGCAAAGGGGAATGCTGCTTTGATTCCTAACTTCGGGGATATTTCACATAGATCTTTTGGTTATCATTATTACTATTGTTACGATTTTTACTGGCATGATATTAAAAAACAAACATTTTACTAGGTTTTATTTTTACACGCTGCCTTCAAAAGTAGCCACCGTGAAGCCCGAAGCCCTGGTCCCCGCTCTCTGTACCATAAAGCCATTCGTAACAGCGTAAACCTCTGTCAGCCTCGCTCCCGGATTCCTGCCCAGGGCCTGCCGGCCTGTGGGGCGGGCGGGGGCACCTCTGGCCGTCATCGTCATCATCATCATCATCGGAGCAACCTCTGCAAAGGGACTCTGTCCCCAGGCTGGGAGGGGAGCCTTTCCTGGGGAGAGGGGCACAGGAGCACTGGCGAGCGCAGGCCAGCCCCGGTTTATGGACCTGGCTGGGGGATGGTGCCCCCGACCCGCCTGCAGCCCTCGCCGGCCTGACGTGTTTACCGCTGGGGTGATTTACACCGTCCAGGTGCGCAGTGGGAAACATCTCAGCTCGGAGCTGACACGGTGATTGCCCTGGATTTGCAGACTTAGTCATTTTTTTTGTTGTTGTTCAAAGAGACAGCAAGAAAAAAAAAGTATTGGCCCAAAGTGGTTCGTCTCCTGTGATTTTCACATAGGGGGGCTGAGGAATCTCTTAACTCAAGGTCCTGGGTCCCACTCAGGTGGGGGGACCTCACTGTCACTGAAACTGGGGCCATCCTCCGACCTCTCTCATCAAACTAATTTCTTCTGCCAGTTTGTTCTTCGGCCTCTCGGTGGCTGCAGTGGCTGCGGAGATGCTCGGCCAGCGTCCCTGCTGCTGTTTCAGCACCCTGGTGCTTTCCAAAGGGTCCTGCCAAGCAGACTCTGTGCCTGTTCAGGGTTTCCTGGGGCATCCCAGGCGCGGTTTCGAGAAGGAGCCTGGAAATGATGCGTTTGTGCCACACGGGTCAGCCCCGTGGGGTGCTCGCAGTGTGAGGGGTCTGCTTTGCAGGGGGAGGTCCTTTTGCAGTAGAACCACTGCTGTTATTTTTGCTCACATGTCAACGCAGGTGGTGTTGCCACTGCTTTGTCACTGGGTTTGCACGGGAGGTTTCTAACGCCTGCACCGGGGCAGCCTCGTGTCATCTGCACGCCGAGTTAAAACAAGCTTCAGGAAATAAAAGTGGGGTTTTTGTTTGTCAAAAAACATGTTGTAAATTTTGTTTTATCTTACCCAATCCACCTTGTTTAAAGGAGTATGGAAATTTATTACATATCCATTTTTATATACTCTTATGCTAATTTTCCTCCAACTGCCTCTGGTAACTCTGATGAAACAGAACACAAACGCACGTTTGCCTCGGAGAAACACACACATGCAGACGCGCACGCGTTCGGGGCGGGCGGCGGGCGAGGACGCCTGCAGAGAAATTGAGAATGATCCTTTGTTTATGTTTTCATTTTTACAAATACCTTTTTTACCGAGCCAGGGCACACTGGGCTGATTTTGAGAACTCATTTCAATTTAGCTGTTTCATTCTCCTTGATGAAATGTCTCCAAAACCCATCACTTTGCCTCCTTCCACGACCTGCAAACAGAAAGCATTGGGTCAAATGCAGGCGGGTGAAGAGCAGAGGCCGCCGGATTCAGGTTTGGCAAATAATAGAATTCCTTCTGCTTGGACTTTCACGGTCAAAGTAGCCTTTCGGCCAGTGATGTGAACACTAACAAGTTTACTTAGTGTCCAGCTCCTTCTGTTTGCGCTCCTTTCTCCCGGATTATGAATACGTAAGCCTTCCCGACGTAGAAAAATATATTGATTTGCCACACTAAACGGGGACACTGTTTAAAATTACCAGCCCTGAGGCGAGGAAAAAAATTCCGTCAATAAAACAAAAACCTTTATTTCCAAACATCAGGTGGTGGGGGGCTCCTCGGGAGAGCAAGAGTTCTGTCACTGCTCACAGCCCGTATCAGCAAGAACCGTGGAAAATACCATGCTGATCAAAAGGAAAAATAGCCAATATTTAAAAGAAAAAATTTTTTTTGCCTTTGTGATGGACTTCTTAACTGTGTGCCTTTGTTTATCTCTGTTATGAATCTAAATAAGACGCCTGTGCTGGCACTCACTTTTGAGTCAGACACATGAAAGCACTCGGGAGCGCGGTCTGTTTTCAAGGACTGGCCGTGAGTGCCGGCTTCACAAACACGCCGCACGGCAGCAGCGCCGCTCGGACACGGCTCCACCGAACCACCACCTTCCTGCATTTCAGCCTCTGCTGGAACGGCCCCCCAAAGCAGGTGACTATGGAAAGATTTCTTTTAATTCTAAATCACAAGAGAGATAAAAATGAGTGTCATGCTATGAGGCCTGAACGTTCAAGTGCGAGAGAGAGTTGGCCAGGGTCTGGTGAATGGCTAAGTGGATTAGTAGCCCTGCTTTTTAACATATAAACATCTGAAACCCGTTTCCTGTTTAAGAAGAAAAAAAAGTCTAGGTGGATGACCTCGGGCACTTTTTTTTGATTAACAAATGTGAATTGTACATCATGGTGGGAAAAAAAAATGGCCCACGCTTGGTGGTCTTTCTACAGTCTGTATATGGGAGAGAGAGAAAAAAATACAAAAATAAACGTTACCTTCTCACTTTCAGGGTGGGCAATGCCATTTCTACAGCGGCGTCCAGAGCTCTGGCAAATGTTAGGGCTGTCACGGCGGACAGAGTCCCCACGGTCTGTGTGCCTCCACAGAGTCCGAAGGAAGGAAAACATTCCGGGCATTCCTGCGGGCTGCTCCTATCTCCAGGCCTGGGGCTCGGCCCCGCAGACCCCTGTCCCCCCGGCAAGCCGCACGGGACCTGGCAGTTCTGAGCGCACGCCTTCCCCAGCCCGCCCTGCAGCGGGCGGGAGCCGGACACTGCTGCCTCGCCCCGGAGGACTCACGGAGCTGACTCTCAGCCTTCCCAACGCAGCACCAGCTGCAATGTGTTCAGCTGGAAAGAGCTTAGCGGTTCTGACACATTCTGACAAGATACATTTTATAGGGTTTGTGCTAAAATTTGATATTGGAAGTTGGGATTCCAGTTTTATGTCTCAAATGATAACAATAGCAGCTGGGACCTTTAAGAAATGTGTGTATTCCTTCCATTTAACAGTTACATAATAAAAGCTATTTATGTCAAACACCTTATAAGGGCAAGATTTAGCCTAAATGTCAATACAACATATAATACTTTTTATATTCAGAAAGGAGAAAACATCCATTATCAGGGCTACATATTATTTTGGGTTTAGGCTGTTATATGGGAGCTTTAAAAATGTAAAGTCATCGCTTTAATTTACAAATTCATTCAGCTGCTTTTTAAAAAACACTTTCTGTGTTAAAAAAATATATTGATGCATTACTATTTGTTTTTTTCCCAGTCCTCTGAAGGAACCACAGAAAGAAGGGCACCGTTTTATGCTGTTTGATTTGATTTTTATAATTTCCAAGCATGCGATAAAATCACTCACTGGCCTTTAAAAACGGATGCTTCTCTTGTTTTCTGAAAGCAGTTGTGGTTTCGGAGAGTAACTGGCTGGCAGAACTTTTGTAATTCTGATGAACAAACAGGTCAGCAGCTCAGAAGGCAAAGGTTTCTCAGGGAAGCAGGAACAGCGACACCCCCACTCTTTGTCCCAGCTAGGTTTTGGGGAGGGCTCAGAATCACCCCCAGCTGTCCTAGCAACATCGCACTGATGTTTTCTGAGGAGCCCGAGTCTACCGCCAAGCAGACAGAGATTCTCGCTGGTGCGGACACTTGGAAACGACCATGCGGCCCTGCCAGGAGGGCTTGTTAGAAAACTCCAGCTTCCTTCTTATCGTGTCTGCTCAGACAAAGAGCAGAACCTACCCAAGATGAGACGAGAACCCCAATTAGCAAAGCCAAGAGATTCCCACCCTTCCCACACCCGCATGCTGGGCTCAGTTCCCCTCCTCACTCTTCTCTGCCTTATCAGACAGGGTGTGACCGCGGGTTAATGAGAAAAGCCCAGCTGGGTGGTGGCAGAAATGGTCATCCTGGCTCTCCACGCTCCCACCCTGCCCCTGGCTCCCCCATAGTGGGACAGGGACACGGAGGACAAGGCCACAGTCACAAAAGCCACTGCCCCTCAGGCGCTTTTCGAACCAGCTGACATCAACTTAAACTCAGCTAAACTCGAGTTTAATTTCCTTTGTTTTTAAGTCACAACCTGAATGTAACAGCTCCTAAGCAAATATGATCTTAAAAAATAATTTATTGAGCCTCTCCCTTCTCTACTTTGTCAGAAAGTTGCTTCAGCCTAAATGGAAGGCAATTTCCTTTTCTTTTATAACAAGTGAGCTTCCCAAGCTTCACTTAGTTGTTTTTTTTTTTTCCAAGTTTAACCAGCATATGCCAGTATTCATAAAGGGGATCCCTCCTGGTTGATTACCACTTTAGTATGTTGAATTTCATGTCAGTTACACAATTATTGTCGGAAAGAATCAAGCTGCAGGCAAGGACTGGGAAGCACATCTGAAGACAGAGTGAATATTTGACATAAAAATGTACTGGCCCACAGATTTCTGCAATGCTTGATATTTGAAACAGCAGCTTTTTCTATATCATCTCCTATCTTCCCAATGACCTTGATGGTGATTGCCATTGTCCACGTTTAACACCAGGAAATGGAAGGAACGAAAATCAGCTCAATTACACAGAGAGAAGATGATAGATGAGGACTGGCTATACCTAATAATAATCAGATTAATAACAGGTAGCTTTCCTAGAAGCATTGCCGGGTGCCAGGAGCTTCGTGCTTATAGGAAAAGCTAATCTGACCCCACCTTCACCCCCTGAGGTAGGCATTCTTATTGCAGTCATTTCATAGAGGAGGAAACTGAGGCAGAGAGGTCAATCAATCACTGAAGACCATATTGCTGAGAAGTGACAAAGTCACAGTGCCAGGAGTCCAAGGCAGGCCATCTGCTGGCAGAGCCCAAATTGTAGCCTCTGTGCTGTGACATCAGGGCTCCGATATCAGTGGTCGCAGCCCCAGTCACCCTGCCCAGGGCTAAACGCTAGCTGCCGCCCCCCTAAACCCTGGGCACGTGATTATACTTCACACTGAGCCTCAGTGTGCTCACTTGTGAAGTGGGGATGTAATGCTCCCCAGCGCGTGGAGTTGTTTCAGGATTGCACAAAACAGCACGGACAGCGTTTGTCACACAGAAAGTGTGAGGTATGGGACCTCAGCCCACACTTTCCAAAGCCCCTCCTCCGCTCACTTGAGCAAGTCACAGACTGCAAGGCTTGCTCCAGGAATCTATCTGGGAACTTTGGCTACGTTCTCAAACACCAGGATCGTAAAGCTCTTGGGGGCACACCGTGTGGCCCCCCAGCAGCAAGGACTCGGCCAATCTGACCAGCGTCTGTCCCAGGGAAACCCGGGCTGGCAGCCAATGCCCAGGGTTGCCCACAGGGAGCATGGGCACTGCACCCAGTGCCCCAGCTCTCTCAGGGAGGGAGCGTTGGGAGGCCCCAGGCCTCACCATGGGAGTGACATCATTTGTCATCACATGCCGGCACCGGAGACCCCGCAGGCTTTCAGGCCACCCTGGCCGCCCCCTGGTTTCTGTTGCATTTGTTTGGACAGCGAACCCCTGAGGGAGCCCTCCTTCTCCACTCTCTTCAAAGTCCGTGTCGCTTGCCCTTCAAATGCGGGTTTATGGCGGCACAAGGAGCCCCAGGAACAATAAACAGCCCAGCATCCTGAGGCTGGCTCCGCTCGAGGCCTCGGGTTCAGAGGTGGGGGCCGGGAAGGGGGTGCCCTTCTGGCTGCCAGCACCTTCCCTGCCACGGAAGCCGCGAGTCTGGCTGCTGGGGGTTTGGGTGTCCCACAGACCCAGGTCCAGTACTGCTTTTGCCTCCTAGGAGCTGTGTTTGCCCAGGCAGGTAGTTGCCCTCTCTGGGTCCCAGTTTTCCTGTCCATAAAAGGGCAGCCGCAATGCACAATGTGCTGGTTTGTAATAAATGTCAATTCTTGTATTGCCATTTAACTCGGACTATAAAATGGAAATACCTGAATGTGTTGAGAGCAATAACTCATTTTTAAAAAATGGGATGCAGCCATATCACCAGGAGGGCTGGAGAGAAAGGGAAGCCCAGGCACAGTGGTGCGGAGTGGAGGGACATGCGTGGAGAAACCCCGCCGTGAGGAAAGGGGGTTTGCTTTGCAGCCACGTCCGTGCCGTGTGACCCTGAGCACACTGCTCAGCACTTCCGGACCTACGTCCCCATCTGCAGATAGTGATCTGTGAGTTTGCTTCCTACCTTCATCTTTTAATTACCAAGTAAAATCTTCCACCACCAAAAAATACACCTCACCATAAACACGCTGTTCTCAGCAGTGCTAGGATATTCTTAAAGTACCCCACCCCCATGCACAATTAAAATGTCATCGTTTTGCAAATATAAAATCCTTGAAAAATAGAGTGTTGGGGTTGGGGGTGATTTTTTTTTTGTTTCCCGTAATATACGTTTTATTATTGTCTTTATCTTTTCTTCTTGGCTTTTTCATGAATTTCTTTTTATGTACACGTAGTTGCAATCACAGATGTGGCCGCAGGCTCCACATAGCCTCAAGCCTGCCTGCATGGACCCCCAGTGTGTGGACGGCACCCTAACGGGGGCGGGGGGCATCCCACCCGACTGCGGCCTGTTACCGTTGTTTCACAGCTGCATCGTGCATTTATCTCTGTAACACGCACATTTTACCCGTAAAGCTTTTTACCATGTTTTGGTTTATTTCTTTGGGTTAGAGTCACAGTAATAATCACACAGAGTCAAAGGCTGTATGATGACCCTTATACACTTTAATGGCACTGAAGGAGCCCCTTCAAGGGGACATGAAGCACCTGCACCCCAGCTGCCCCCGCATCTGCCCAAGTGCAGTGGAAATGGCCTCCGATCTTTGCCTCCGAAATGAAAGAACCTGCGTGAACTCAGACTTTTACCAGGAAATAGATTTTGTGGGGAAGACATTTTTTTAAATTGTCATGAGTTCTTTGGAAGAGAATAGTTTTTATAAATGAAATCAGTATGAAGGGAATTATTTACAGAGACCATGGAGAAAGCATTTAAGCTAATTAAGGATGTATCTATAAAAATAGAGTAAGAGACAAAACACAAATTGCCATACGCTGTAAGAACAGACACCCCCTGAAGCACAGTGGCTCTGAAAACCCATAAGCTGTGGAGGCAGGGGGTGGAGTTTTGGCAGTTCATGCCCAAACCACAGCCCGTCAGGGCACAAGGCACCTCGGAATCAGCTCGTCCAGGGCCTTTCTATGCAGCATGCAACGAATTCCTGGGGTCTGGCTAAAGAGCAGGTTCTCATTGGGCCTGTCTGGGTGGGGCCGAGATGGTCCATCATTAACCAGCACAGCGGGATGCCTGAAGTCCCTGGTCCGTGACCCACTCCGAGTGGCCAGCACTTAGAGCAGAAGGATCATTGGTATCACCAGTGCTGTGGGCACGGCCCCCAAGCTCCTTGATTTGGAACAAGTGTTCTTGACTTGGACTCCACTTTAGAATCACCAGGGGAGATTTCTTAAAACTCAGCCGCCTAGGTTGCCCCCCAGACTAATTAAACCATAACCTTTGGAGGTGGGGCTCAGGCATCAGGATATTTTCAAAGAGGCCAGGTCCTCCCGTGCGCAGCTGGTATGGAAATCAGCTGATTTAGATGCTTCCTTCAACGGGCAGAAAGATCA